TATGGAATAGATATTTCTATACAATATAAATATATAACAATTGCAAATGATAGTGACTTTTTAATTTCAAGTCAATTCTTACACAATTCAAGTCAGGAGTTTTTCTTATTCCTCCCTTAACATATGAAAATATAAATGTATGGTGGAGCTGGTTCCATTATGTATCAAATGTATAAATTATGAATACATTCTATTTATTAACTATAGAATCAAATGAAAATAGAATAGAGCTGAACCAAATAAAATGAGGAGAGATAAAAATTCTACAAGAAGATAATAAAGATTAAACTTAAAATAATGAATTCTAAATTCTACCAAAATTTGTGGAATTATGAAAACTTTGTTCTAATTTCACTTGGAATTTCCTGTAAGCTTAGCTTCTAACATTTTAAGTGACTTTCACACATTTCTAGACTATATGGTCTTCGAATGAATTCCATAAAAATTCTCAATTAGTCTCAAACATGAAATTATTATTTAAATGAAATAGGAAACTCTAACCTGCCACCATGATGAATTGCAGCAGCACATCTTGGAAAGAGCACAGTGTATGGTACCATACTGATTTATGAAATGATTAGCAAGTGCAGAAGAAGAGAATGATTATTTAATCTATGCCCAATCGAACAGTAGAAAATTTTAGAATATGCAGAGAAAAACAATCAGAATTTGAATTGGTTTGCGAGATATCTCTAATCCTAAATTATACAAAACCCTTGAAAATCCCAAAATCTTTTAAATTCTAAACATGAAGACCCTAAAAAATCATAAACCATAAAATCCTAAAACTCAAGACCTTCAACCTACACATTAACCAAGCTCTCTCAATCCTAAACCAAAAAAGACATGAAAACCTCAAGATTCCTGCTCTCTCTCTTCTTTTCTATGTAACAATAGACCAATTTCAGAATTAACTTACAATGTTAATGGCACAGAATAGTAGCAATTGGTAGACTTATCAAATTCTACAATTCTTCATTTCCTAGTAAACAACTATTACAACTTTAGTTGTACTTCTGATATTTGACCCAATATGCACTCTCACTGACCTTTAAATGTGACCTGAAGCACAAAAACTGTTATTAAGAGGGTGTTTGAGGTTACTTATTTAGTGCTTATAAGCAGTTTAAGCACCTCCATACCAATATTTGCAATTAGGTAACATAAAAATTAGCATAGTCATTAGAATTTAAAAGTGACTTTAAGAAGGTAGAAATTAAACTCCAGTATTCTAAGCTTTTAAGTTTTTATTTTTTTTTATTTCACTAATTACTTAATCACCCTCTTGAGATCTAGTTAAAGTAACTGAAGAAAATTTAGAGAAAAATATTCTTCATCTATTTTTGATGAATGATTTACACATATATATACAAGTCTACTACTCCTAACAGTCTAACAAATTTTGGAGAAAACCTAACAAAATTTTATTTCCAAGGAGCAATTTGTTGAAACAAATTTATTGATGATTCCCTTCATTTACATAACAGTTGTAAATAACCATTTTTAATCCTAATTTATTCTTCTAATTATTTTATTTTCTATACTCTCCCTCAATCTAGTTTACGTATATGTTGAGTAAACCTAGATTGGATATTATGTCATTAAAGGTTCTCTTAGAAAGAGTTTTAGTTAGAATATCTGCAATCTGTTGATTGGTTGGAGTATGCATCAGAGTTATAATCCCATCTTCCAATTTTTCTCTAATGAAATGACGATCAATCTCCACATGTTTGGTTCTATCATGATGTACTGGATTTTTTACCATACTAATTGTTAATTGGTTGTCGTACCATACTTTCATATTCATAAATACCATGAGCAAGAGCTCTAAATTCAGATTCCGCACTGTTGCGAGACACAACAGACTGTTTCTTACTTTTCCAGGTAACCAGGTTACCCCAAACATAGATACAATATCCTGATGGAGATCTCCTGTCATTTGTAGAACCTGCCCAATCCGCATCTGTGTAAATTTCAACACCCCTTATGTCTGTCTTCTGAAAGAATAAACCTTATCCTGGAGTTTTCTTGAGATACCTCAGAATCCGATACACAGCACTCATGTGATCTTCAGTTAGCTGATACATGAAGTGACTTACTGTACTTATTGCAAAACTGATGTCTGATCTTGTGTGAGCCAAGTAAATAAGTTTCCCAACAAGTTTTTGGTATCTCCCTTTGTCAACCATTTTATCACTGATTCTGGATCCAAGTTTGATGACTGAATCCATAAGGGTGTCAGCAGGCTTGCTTCCTAGCATCCCAGTTTCTTTTACGAGATCCAGAATGTACTTTCGTTGAGTAACTGAAATCCCTTTTTTAATCTAGCCACTTCCATACCGGGGAAGTACTTTAGTATTACAAGATCTTTTATTTCAAATTCTTTGGCTATAAATTCTTTAAGTTTCTGAATCTCTTCAAGGTGATTTCCTGTAAGAATGATATCATTAACATATACAATCAAAATAGCTTTCTTACCTGATATGCAATGTTTGACGAATAACGTATAGTCGTATTGATATTGTTCATATCCTTATATTTTACAGCTCTTGTGAATCTGTCAAACCATGTCCTTGGAGATTGTTTTAAGCTATATAGTGATTTTTTCAATTTATACACTTTCTGAGAGTTGTCAGTTAATTTGAACCCTGGTGGTATATTCATATACACCTCTTCTTCCGAATTGCCATTAAGAAATGCATTCTTTACATCTAATTAACACAGTGACCAGTCAAGGTTAGATGTAAGTGAGAGGAGTACTCGAATAGTATTGTACTTGGCAACTAGTGCAAACGTCTCCTAATAATCTACACCATATGATTGTGTATAGTCTTTGGCTACCAAGCGGGTCTTAAGCCCGTTCACACTCCCATCTGGATTATATTTGGTTGTAAAAACCCATTTGCATCCCACTTGACACTTTCCTGGAGGAAGATCAGTTAGTTCCCATGTCTCATTCTTTTCAAGTGCCTTGATCTCATCTAGGACAGTTAACTTCCATTCTTGAATTTTCAAGGCCCCATGTATTGTTCTGGGTTCAGGTGAGCTGCTGTCTATCTTGCACACAAAAACATGATGTTCCGATGATAATTTGTCCAATGAAACATAATCCTGTATAGGATGTTTGGTGCATGTTCGAGTACCCTTCCTCAAAGCAATAGGAATATCAGAATCAACGGAATCAAGAGTTGGTACAAAGATTACGTTACCTGGATTAGTGGTGGATTCATAGCAGTGCTTGAATGATTCGGGTGCTTTTCTTTTGTTTCTTCTTGTATAGACACGTAGCTCACTCGTTGCAGGTAATGTGCTTTCTGTAACTGGTTTTAGTTTTGATTTCTTTTGTAAGCTTTCGGATTCAATCTCCAGGGAAGGTTGGTCTGGTGATGGATTTTGTAGGTAGAGAGGTGGTACACTCACATCGCACAACTGATATTCCTGAGTGAATGTCTCCCCCTGAATATCAGTGGTGGGATAAAACGGTTGATTCTCAAAAAAGAGGACGTCCATGGTATTATAAAATCAGCGGGTTTCCGGAACTACACATTTATATCTTTTTTGATTTGCTGAGTACCCAACAAAAATACACTTTATTGCTCTTGGGTCTAATTTTTTACGAAAATGTTTATGAATGTGGATATATGCTAAACAACCAAAGACTTTAAGTGGCAAAGTGTTTAAGATGTGAGAATCAGGAAAGATTTTTGAGAGAATAGTGTATGGTGATTGAAACTGTAGGATACGGAAGGGCATCCGATTAAATAGGTAGCTGAAAGGACAGCCTCTCCCCAAAGATATTTTGGTACATGTGTGGTGAACATGAGAGATCTGACAACCTTAAGGATATGTCTATTTTTTCTTTCGACTATGCCGTTTTGTTGTGGAGTATGAACAAAGGAGGTTTGATGAATAATGTCATGTTCAGTAAAGTATTTTTCAAGAGTATTTTCAAAATATTCACAAGTATTGTCGGATTTCAATACTTGGATGGTAGCATGAAATTAGGTTCGAATCATTGTATGAAATTTTTTAAATAGAGATTCCACTTCAAATTTTTCCTTCATGAGAAATACCCAAGTAATTCTTGTATGGTCATCAATAAAAGATACAAACTACCTAGTTCTGAAAACGTTGGAAACCTTGAAAGGACCCCAAATATCACTGTGAATTAATGCAAATGGTTTAAACGGTTAAACTATGGAATGAACTTCGAGTATGTTTGGAAAATTGACAAACTTCACACTGTAATGAAACTGGATCTTTTCCTTTAAATAATAGTGGGAACATCTTTTTCAAATACATGAAATTTGGATATCCTACTCTATAGTGTCACAACATAATATCATGTTCATTATTTTTGGAGATAAGAACAAAGTTTTCACATACTGCATTGTGAGTTTGTCTTTTAGAAATGTTGACTTGAAGTAAATATAATCCTGAGTCATCCTAGCACTACCAATCGTCCTCCTTGAGTCCAAATTCTAAAAATTACACATATTAAAAACAAATTTCGTAGCACATTTCAAATCTTCACATAACTTGCTGACATACAACAAATTACAATCCAAATTTAGAACATGAAGAACTGAACAGAGAGTCAAATTTGGAGACAAATTTACAGAACCCATTCCTGCCACTTTTGAGAGAAAACCATCTGCAATTCTGATTGAAATATTTTCTTTACATCTTCTATAATTTTAGAACAATGAGGAATCGCCACTCATATGATCAAATGCTCCAGAGTCTACCACCCACACCTGTCCTTTATCTGAAAGAACAGATAAGCCATGAATATTACTTTTGTGTGCCACAAAGGCACTGACTGGGTGAGATTTCTTGGACAAGATTTGCTGGAGGGCTTCCGACTGTTCAAGGGTAAATAGGTCTTTTCCCATCTCATCATAAATTACTTCCTCAGCCATCACGTGATTTCCTCGAAGCTTGCTAGAGGTCTCTGCTTTTCACATTTTTCACTCACCCAAAGGTGGTTTCCAGTCAGTTGGCTTGCCGTGAAGCTTCCAGCAACGTTCCCGAGTGTGCCCTAGCTTCCGACAGTGGTCGCACCAGGGTCTTGTCTTCTTCGTTCGACTGTCAATCGCTCAGGTTGTGAGAGCTGAAGAATTTTCAGTCGGGTGAGGTTGGTCATTCTCTCCCATCATGGTCTTCCGACGACTCTCCTCGCGTCGAACCTCAGAAAACACTTCTCGACGACTTGGCAAAGGTTTGGTGCTCAGAACATGTCCCCGAATCGCGTCGAGATTTTTGTTTAGCCCTATCAGGAATTTGAAGACCCGCTTTTCTTCCACAAAGGCTTTGAAGTTTTTTGCTTTCTCGGGGCAGTTTCAATGACGCTCCTCGAAGGCGTCCATCTGTTGCCAACTTCGACTAAGAATACTGTAATAGCGGGTGACACTGAGTTCTCCTTACCGAAGATCATGAAGAGTTGACTCGATTTCGAATATTGCAGAGGTATTTTGCTTGCTGGAGTATAGTTCCTGTGCTACCTTCCAGATTTCGTGAGCAGCTTTGTAGAGTAGGAAATTCTCTTCGATTTCAGGAGTCATTGAGGTAATGAGCCAGGACATGACCATACTGTCTTCGATCTCTCAAGTTTGTGCATTTGCATCGGACGTTGGAGGAGGCATGAGCTCGCCAGTGAGGTGCTGATAACGCCCCCTTCCGCGGATGAAAAGACGGACAGACGACGACCATTGAAGGAAGCTACTGCCATCGAGTTTATGTCCTGTGATACAGGATGGTAATTCACTCACAGCTCTGGTTGTTGCTATGTGATGATAAGAATCAAAGGAAACTTCTGGTGGAGAGGATGGAAGCTCACCCGAGGTCATTTCTAATTACGGCTCAGCAGGGTTTGATTTCTTCTTGGATCAGGTATGGCTCTGATACCATGAAGAAAATTGAGGTAAAAATATTCTTCTTCTATTTTTGATGAATGATTTACACATATATATACAAGTCTATTACTCCTAACAACCTAACAAATTCTAGAGAAAACCTAACAAAATTTTGTTTCTAATGAGAAATTTGTTGGAACAAATTCGTTGGTAATTCCCTCCATTTACATAACAGTTGTAAATAACCATTTTTAATCCTAATTTATTCTTCTAATTATTTTATTTTCTATAGTAACAATATATACATAAAATAATATAAGTCAACAAAACTTGCATAATAAATATATTTTTCTTTTACAAAAGCAACTGCTTATTTTTTGCAATCACTATTTTTATCTAAATCCTTTACTACTTATTCTTTAATAAGAACCTACCTACTTCAAGTATGTTAAAGCATCATGCTATTTTAGTACATTTCTTTTAGCAATCTCAAATACTCTGTTAAGACTTCCATAAAACAGCAAAGAACTAAAGATCTTACATGACTCTTTTGGTTATTTTCTTAGTGAACAAGTGTTTAGCACTTTACATTCTTAGTATCTGAAAGCATCTAAATGCTTACCCAGAAAAGCAGAAGAGTCGATCGTCAAAGAGAGAGATCCCAGCATCAGTGGACTTCCTTTCGTTTGAAGATGATTCAGTTGCAATGATCCTAATTGCTGCATCTAAAGGTCCATAGCCATCAGTAAAAAGGATGAATCTGTAACTTGTGATCTCTAAAACAGTTTGAAGAACTTGAAGAAATGCTTGGGGATTCCTCAAGAAACCCATGCTGCAAAATAGTTGATGGAAGAAAGGATGAGCAGTGTTATCCAAGACCAGATGCATAAACAAATGCTATAACATCTCATTCTGGCAGAATCCTGAAACTAACCAACAGGCTAGACCCAGCAGGATCTTTGTCTTATAATCCACCCAAGTAGTAGTGTTAGTTTGGTATTGCTTATCAAAAGAAAAAGAACAGGTAATACTAGGACGTCATGAGATGGAGCATGATATATGAAGGGATGTGTGTTTACAAATCCACCCATTCACCCATAACTGAACTCTTTATCTCATTCTTATCTCTTTTCCCTTTCTCTCTCCTTTTCAGCCCTGTTCCAATGTCTCTCACATGGGTCATGCCTCTCTGGTTACCAAGGAAGCTCTTGGTGATAGAGAGAATGTCTTTTGCTATGATCTTATGGGGGAATGATGTCAGTATCATAGTCAAAGAATGATACTATCTCCTATTTGTCTTTCGTGCTTATGGTGAATGATGACCTCTCGAGCTTTTCCTCTGCATATAGAGGATTGGGGCAAGTAACCTACTATCTCCTTTCCTTTTCAATGTGGTCATGGAAGCACTTAGCAAATGATTTGCAAGAGCAGAAGATGGATCTTTCTAAAGGTTTGGTAATTGGTGACAGAAAGGAGGGTACTGCAGTCTCTCACCTTTTAGCACACCCTCTTATCCAGCAGGCTTGATAGGGAGTCTCTCTTGTATGACAGGTGCATCTTACTTTGCTTTCAGATTATTTCCAGTTTGAAACCCAATATTCAAGAATCTTAATTGGTTTGTATTTGGGTGGCATGAGTGCTTCTAATTTGGTAGGTATTCTAGGGTCTAAAAGTGCTTCTCTTCCCATCGAGTACTTGGGCTTGCCTTTGGAAGCTGGTTTTAGTGATGTCTCTATTTTGAAGCCTATTGTCGCAAGATTAGAGAGAATATTGGATGGTTGAACAAGGGCTTTTTTGTGTAAAAGTGATAGACTGACTCTTACCAAAACAATTTGATCTGACCTCCCTATCTACGTTACATACCCATTCTGGTCAACTTGCTAAAAGATTGGAATCTATTCGACGTGGATTTCTATTGGGTAATTGATCAAAGGCATTTTGATTTGGTGGTCTAGAATTTAGCCATAAGATCTTTTGAGGGAAAGGGCTTTTGTTTGTGGTCCCTAATGTCTTCAACAATGACCTTGGAGGTTCATGAGAAACCAAGATTGCTTATGGAAGAAGGTTCTCAGAGCAAAGTTTGATCTCAAGGAGAATGGGTGGATTCTAATAAGGTTCCACATGGCTTGAGAGTTTGGAAATTCGTTAGAGCTGGCTCCTATGCACTTTGAAGTAGGCTTGGTTCTTTGTGTCAGATTCTGGAAAGACATTTTGTGTTGTCATTCCCCCTTGTGTCATCAATTTCCATGAATATTTAACATTGCAAGGAATAAGGAAGCCATTGTTGACGATGCCGGGGAGAGAAGTGAATGCGTTGATGCTGCGAACAACAACAACACAACTACATTTTGGCTTTTCCCTCCATGAGATGAGCCCAGTGCATTGGACCGATGGATAAGAGAACTGAGCTGGAAAAAAAAGCGCTGGGGCACTCTACATACGATGTAGACTCCATCAGAAAGAAATCAATATGCATCTGAGGGATCAAGAATCGAGAGTTTTATAAAAAATAGATAGAAAAAGGGGATTTGCCCTTATTATTGATAGATTCCCTCTCTATCTATTCCTACTCTTTCGATCTATCAGAACAGATCAGGCTATCTATCAATCGATTTGAAAATAGCACGGCAACCCGGTGAGTGCCAGGTAGTGCGGGAGTTGGGACTCATCTGTGATGTTGACGATTAGGAGATGAACAATCATAAACAGCCTTCTCATTCACCTTGAGTCATATGTTGTATTCCCTAATGAGGTTGATCAGCCTATCTAGTCCTCAAATAAGAATGATGCTTTCTCTATGAGCTCTATTTATCATTAGTTACGGGGCTGAGTGTGAAGACCCGAGTACATGGTTCTGATGTAAGAATGTATGTATTCGGGTTTGAAAAAAAGAGAGGGGAGTGAAAATACCAAGAGGAAGAGAGGATGAATCTGAGAGATAAATAGAAAACTTAATGGAGATAGTGATAATATTTTCAAAATATTTCATTCATCGATTCCTTACATATATGAAGAAAGGTGATTTATATGCAAATACAAGATG